TACATTTACAATAATTAGCAATTATTTAGAAAGTTATTAATAATTAGGAAAGGAAAACTGATTTTCGTCTGGCTAAAAAATACTAAGACGCTTTTCAACTGAAAGAAAACATTGTTCACAAAAGACTTCAGCGACTTCAAAATATATCAGATATAAATTGAAGAACTGGGTAGAGCTTTAGATTGAATGAGTTGCTTAATAAGTCAAAACACTCGAGTGCTACCCAGCTAAAGGAAGCATTTATGGAGAACATTTTAAGAAAAAAACTGTGATAATTCCACCAAAGGATACGACAAAATACAAGGATATGACATTCATATACGGAAACGTAGGCTAGAGCTATATGTATAAAGAGAGATTTGCCTTAGTGTAAGGCTTTCGGACGGAATCTGGCTTATATTCACGTTTCATACTTCTTTCTTTTCAAGTCTTAATACACATTATTGAAATTTGATGATCTTGGAAGCCTTGGAATCCTTGAAGGATGATCTTGGATGTACCTGTAGCATGAACTACAGGTACAGGTATTTTTAAATGGGTGGGTCACCAGAATTTTATAGGTTGTACAGATATAGTGGCACTGCACTAATTGCGGAGCTCCGCCTAAATTTTATGGGAGTACACCCAAGGGGCGCCCCAAGAGACTCCCACTTCTCTTCCCCTACTACCAACCACTCGACAGAACGTTTGGCTTGCCGTGTATACATACACTATAAACATATAAACACCCATGCCTTCTCTAGTATTCAAACTCATGCCCATCGGTATAGCAGTTAGCGTCGCTAACAACTATACCGCACGGACGGAAGTACAAATTATTGCAGTACAGCAAAGACTCACCTGTACTCCTTTGAAGTACAAACTACTGCATCAGTACACTGACAAATTTCTTAATCAGATGGGAAGTAACATACTCAAAAGTGGGCGAAAAAAAGACATACAGATGACCGTATGCAAATAATGCTAATTATGCACGTCATTGTTTGAAATCAGAAATTCTTAAAACTCTTTTCGACTTGAGAAAGACACGTTTCTACAATTTAAGCACTTTTTATTGAAATTTAATTCGATTTTTATTGAGTTGAAGCTCATAAAGTGGATCATGCTATTTTTCATTTTCGTATACGAGCATTTCAAAAATGTTTCTTGGTTACAAGAATTCCAGCAAAGCATTGAATTTAAAAAAAAATGGTGTGGCCGTAGAAGGTTCTGGATGAAAATTACCAGCATCATACCACAAAATCATTTCACTAAACCTGGATATAATACTGCCTCAAGTAATACTACAACTAAAGCTGAAGCTTTAATAGATATTAATGAAAGGTCTGACTAACGTTACTTTTATTGAATGGCTTTAAGGAGCTAGAATCCAACCAAAATACCCTTTATGAATATCCCCTTTTCTGATAATAATATTCGTAATATATCCTTTAATCCTTTTGTGAGGTCTTTAAAATCTAAATTTATTATAGATTACAAATAACCTTTAATTAGATCAAAAAACGTTTCATTCATCAAATCCTCTCATACATCCCAGCTCTTAATTTTCATTAGAAATTTGATCTGAAAGCTTTGAGTTGTTTATTAATTTAGAGTTTTCCTGATAAATATTAACACATTTATCCAATTTCCTTCATGGGCATGGTTCAGTTCAGTAATTGTCTCCCTTAATTTGTTATATTAATTGCAATACATTCGGGAAATAATTTTTAATCTTTTGATCAATTTATTAAACGAACTGTGTTTTTCGACAAGCAGCATCCTATGTTACTTTACGTTTCAAGTTGTGGGAATCGGATAATTTTTTCCAGTTTCATTTATTAATTTTACGTCACAAATACAGTAGTTTAGTCGATGTAAATAATATTTACACTAGAAACTTCATTGATTTGATTTAATTAGGAAATGTTTTTTAAACTTCCATTAATCTTCAACGCGAAAAGTAATCAAATATAATTGATTTGCAATAAAATATTTATGCGAAACATTTATGCGTGTAAAAATATGAATACAACTTTTAATGTACACATATCATATTCTTTAAAAATAATTGCTGTATATGAGGCATAGCGGAAAAACTGTATATAAAAAACTTAGTGTACATGATGAACCTTATCAGACTAAAAGGGAAAAAAAAGAAAAGTGTAATAATTCGTCTACCAGTTCCAACTTAAAAATATTTTGGCGAAATTATTAATTGACAGCATTTTAGTAATTGAAGGTGAAAATAAGAGATTTGTTTAATACACGAATAAAAATTACATTTTGAAACGTGCAATATTTGCATATTTTATAGTTTAGAAAAAAAGGTCTGCCTTTTTTTTTTTTTTTTTTTTTTTTTTTTACGTAAATTTTAAAGTCATCCGAAGTTAATTCCGTGTTGTAATAATAGCCTAAATCAGCCATTTTCAAACCGTGGGACACCAGAGAAATAAGAGAAAAAAAGATGGTACACAAAGAAACAAATTATTTTTAACTATTAAATTCAAAAATTAAATACCGTAACATCCTTTTTAAGTTTTTTCTTTAACACTCGTAAATTTATGCGATCTGAGCTTTCTTCAAAGTCAATAGCTGCTCATAGACTTAATAATAGCAAAGTAATCCGTTTTTATTTCCACAAATATTCTTTTAGCCATAGACATAACAAAATTTGTCATAAATGAAGTTTTTAAAAGGAAAAATAGAAATGGACTTTTTATTTGTATTTAATGGACTTTTTATTTGTATTTTTTTAAATGTATTTAATAGGAAATAAAAATAATTTCCTACAAAAAGATAATAGTATCTTATTAATGCTTTTAGAGTTGATCAATTTATTAGCATGTGTACACTTTATTTAGTCATCGTTTCCAGGCTCATATTGCTCTAATTTTAATTAGAATAATTTTTTACGTCGATTTGCTGTCTGTAACAGCAGACATTTTGTCTCCTTGTTGCTTTCTGTTCCTTACTTTTCTACGTGATTTGAGAATATCGACGTTTGTTTTTGAAGAGCTCGTAATAATTTGAGCATTTAAATATTTGTGAAAAAATAATAAAACAAATTTAGATTTTTCAAAATATAAAAATAACTAGGATTCACTGAGCTAAAAAGTGATGATTCATAAGTGATGGATCCAGGACAATCTACTAGTACTGAGAAGACTGAAAAGAAAAGAAAAATGTTTTATAGAAAATATAATGAGAGGTACGTATTATTTGGGTTTTCTCGGAATGGACATGAAATGGACTCTTAATCTCAATGTGTTGTCTGCGCTGAACTAGTATCCAATCAAAGTATGAACCCTCAAAAGACATCTTGAATCTAAGCATACGAATTTAAAGGATGAATCTGAAGAATTCTATGCATACGAATTTAAAGGATGAATCTGAAGAATTCTATGCATACGAATTTAAAGGATGAATCTGAAGAATACTTTAAGAGGAAATTATCGGAGTTCAAAAATTGTAAACAAGTAATGAAAGTTTTCGTTACTTCAATAGAAAAAGCTTTGGAAGCTAGTTACCTAGTAAGACAAAGAATTGCCAAAACTGTGCAGGCTCACACTAATGGAGGAAATCGTATATTACCAGCAGCTAAAGATATCGTTTTAACATTATTTAACGAAAAAGCGGCTAACGAACTTAATAATATTCCGCTAACAAATGACACAGCAAGTCGACAAATTCATGAAATGGCAAATTCCATAAAAGAGACACTTATTCAAAAAATAAAACACAGTGAGTATTTCGCATTGCAGTTTCGCAAAAAGTACTGATATAACGAATTCGGTTCAATTATTATTTTACATACGTTTCAAATAAAATAAAAGAATTGCCGAAGAGTATTTATTTTGTGAATCTTCTAATGACTGTAAATGAAATTTTCAAAGTAATTGGTATTTTTTATGTCTGAGAAGGGTATTCCTTGGAATAAATGCATTTCCGTACGCAGTGACGGAGTTCATGATTTAACAGGAAAATATTCCGGGGGTATTTCTGAAGCTCACTCATCGAGAAGCTTTAGTAGCCAAAATAATCCCCGAAACCCTGAAACTTGCTTTGAATAATATTCGCATTTCTCAAGAACGTAGTACTTGAGACGTATATTCAAGACGTTTATTTAGCAGACGAAATATATCCATAATCTTTCTTTACCGCAATTAATTTCTCGTAGAAAAAAATGATACTAAAATAATCCGTTATATCCGTTAGATGAAGGTAAACGAGTAAAATGTTGTCTTGATTGAAATAGATGGAGCGTTACCTATGAGAGGGTGTGAAATTGATTGGTTGTTGAAAGCAGTGAGATAGATTAAATGATTAGGAAAACATAAGTAATTTGATAGCAGAAACAGAAAAAGAGGTACATAAAATCCATAAGCGATTTTTATTTGAATGCTGTGGCATAAATGGCAGATTTGTGAAAATTGCACACTCTACGCCAATGTTAAAAAAAGGAAATCATTATGTTTTTTTACGTAGACATGCTTAAATACAAAACAATTCTCTTATAACAAAGGAAATAAATTAATTTTTAATTGAGATAACGAAATGTAATGTTTACAGTTCTGGAGTCACAAAATCCTAAATTCCAGGACTTATTTGTAAATTAAACTACCATTCAGGAAAAAAAAAGATCAAACGAATTACAAATTACTCATTAATAATATGATTTCCTTTCAGTGAAATAAACTATCTGCCAATAATTAGCAATTCGTGTATAATTTAAAAATAACCTTCTCATCTGCAGTTTTGTTATCATGTTAAAAAAAGTTTTTGCTAAAATTCATAATACAATCTTATATTTCAAACCGCAAAAATTGTTTTATTTCAACATTGCATTTTCCCTGGCTTTTTAGAAACGCTACAAATACTATCTTGTAGGCGTTTCAACATTCTAATATCATAACTTCACAGAAAAAACGGCTGCATCTTTTTAAGATTTCTCCAAACTCTGAAGGAGGAAAAAACGGTTACATGCAGGATTCTGCATTTCATATCGGAAGTAGACTTACCTGTGTCTTTCGCAGACCTATGTTCTTCGAGTTTGATAGATGCAATTCTGTACTTCTGCATATGTCTTGAAATTACACGTTTTACAGAGCGCTGCAGGTGTAATTTTCAGACGAAATGCTATAGCTTCCAAAGTGAAGCAGAAGGGTAAAATGAGTCGATCTCTCCGTCCCTTGCTTCGATTCCGGGTTTTTTGGAGTAGCATATTTGTGCTAACATCGCTTCGTTTGGCGACTTCTGTTTCCCTTTCATGGCTGTTTTTTCACTCCGTTTCAGCGCTTCATTATTTCGATAAAAAGAAAACTATCTTCTATCTATATATATATAAAAAAAAAAAAAACTATCATGGTTTCCCAATATATTATGCTTCCTCCCTGTAAATGCACAGACTTGAAATCACTGACTGAAATCACACAGGCTTAAAATGGGCACTGAATATGCATTCTCAGACTGTGTATAGACTTGAAATCACTTTTCTGGGAAATGTTCCAACAAGTTGAAGCAGTAATTTTGAAGAGATCTCATAATAATCATTTATAAATTTATAAATATTTAAGTTACAAACAACGAAGTAGCAAAAATGATATTAAAATGTAATATAATTATAATATATAATAATAATCTGATAACATCTGTTTTAATTTAAGTCAATTAAAAAGGAAGGAATTTTAAAATCAGTGGTAATACAAGCAAGACTTCAGTTTCTACAGCAACAAATTAGTCTTGTCAAATGTATTGACATTTTTCTAAATAAGTTTTATCGCAACTTTTAGCTTCACATTATCGCAATTTTTTGCTTCACATTATGCATTCAGTGAAAGTGAAAATATGAAAACAATTACAAGGCAAATACTATATTTCCTAGCATGTTTTCCCCTCTTTTAACAAATTTTATCTTCCGAAAATTAAGAGGGAAATATTATATAACTTAATTTTCTAAGAACTTGGTTACAGTAAGAACATAACAAAGGAAAAGTAGTCACGAACAAACTACTGGAACTACTCGAACAATCACAATATTATTTCCTTAAATTGAATCTACACTGCAATAATAATACATAGTAATATTAACATTACAATACCTTATATATACTGGACGTTATATAACTGACGTTAGACAGGCTGGACACGTCGCACGCACACATGTGAAACCCAGGGGCACCTCACATGAATGAATCTTGGCTGCTGTTCCCAAGAAGGACAAAAAAAAAACGATGGAGAACGGAGGCGATCGTAAGTTCCGTATTTCAAAAGATCAAGCACATCAGCAATAGGTAAATGCTACCATAAGCTGGACCATAGACCAAAATTATTTATTTTTCCACGACATAGCCTCTTATTTGGCTGCAGTAATTGAAATTTCGTATGTAAATTAGGTTTGACTTAAATGAAGCCTTATCACTATCCTTATAATTAAGAAATGAAAAGTCCGCTTCTATCAAGGAAAAGAATGCATTTACTATATCTAAAAGGGCTGAATGTCTAAAAAATACAGAGCTGATAAAACGGTATGTCACCATTCTGTTAATTTTTTCCGGTACGGACCCCCCCCCGGTTTTTTATTTTGAATGCATAAATAAAAAATATTTAAATATTGAATTTTGGAACAATATTGAAAGAGCTTTTCACACCATTTAACTGAAGTTAATTCTTCACACCAACCATAAATAAATCTTACACACTTCATGAAACTCAACACTCGGCGACTTTATCGCTTGCGCCGGCGAAATGGAAATTTGCGCCGGCCAAACGGAAAAGTACCGTTTTTCCTTTACAGAAATATATATTGACCGATGCTCACACTAAATTTTTACAAGAATGAAATCTTACAGACTAACAACAATTCGGCCGTGACTTGTACCAAGAAATTCTAACGGTAAACAATATGTGATAGGATTTGTGATATTTCCACAAGTAAAAAAGGTGTTGCCAAATTCAGTACACTAGAAATTTTAAACTAAATTAATTATCATATTCAACAGTATGCAAGACGAGTGTAGCTCGTCATTGTGCGATATGGCATGAAAAACCAATGACGAGCTAGACTCATAATTTTAATGGAAGGGGTTAAGGGCATGTTTTAGAAGGATTCCTACAAATCTGGAGAATCTAACGTCTTACCGAAATAGGATAAATTACAAAGAAAAAGAAGACTACTTTTCTGAGCAAATAAAAGCACAAAATACTGTAGAATAACAGCGTGTCTGTTAATTAGCTGTCTGCTTAATATCGGCGAGAAGTCTGTAATAAATGGTCTTTAGGTAATTGGGCTAATTATGTTTCGAAAATTAGCACACTGGAAACTGTTTCAGGATTTGTTGATTTATAGCTCGAGCAACGAAGTAAAAATTATTTCCTTTATCCTTTATTTCCATTTAAGGGCCCACCATCGGCCGAGCGGTAAATTCGCTGAACACTGGTAGTGCGGTCTGAGGTTCGAATCCCGCGAACGGGCTGGCTGCATGGGCGTTTTCGTGGTTTTCCCCCTGTGTAACGTATGTACGAGCCAGTTTACCTTAGAAACTCTTTCACGAAGGCATCCCTTCCCTTAGCAGATAGCCCTCGAGGCTTTGCCACACTTTATTTCTATCCTTTTATTCTTTTCATTTTTATATATCATATAAAGGATAAGCTAAGGAATAAACATTTATATGTGAATAGAAGATAATTATTATTATTAAAGTTACATTTCTTTAATATTTTTCATACTAAAATTTAGTTTAATATGATACGTTTTTATGGTGTATAATAAGGTTTTATTCCTTGAAAAATTAATTAAAAACCAAATTAATGCTTTTTCTGGTTGCTTTCTTTTCTTGTTTTTTATTATCACCCATGATAAAAACTAAAGATCATAATATTTATCACTGTATTAATCGTTATAGTATTATACAAATTTAAACTTACAATAATGTCAACAAATGTTTAAAATGATAAAAATGCGTCCACCAAGCAAGAAACACAACTACACTGTTTCGGATATGTTAATTTGGAAACCTAGCGCTGCGCACAATTTCGGAGAATCCCCGGGTTGAAATAAAAGAGCGCTAACCGAAACAGCGCTAAACGAAACAGCGTTAAGCGTGGTCTTACTGTACTTGTAACATGAAAAGCCGGATTATATTTTGCAGAGTTATCAGTGTTATTCTTGAAACTGAATTCTTAACAGCCAAACACCTATGACGACGAACGTTTACGCATTTTTGCTATCAACAGCATTTTACGGATTAGATATGTTGTACGAAAAGCATTTAATGATCAAAAAACTAGTTCAATTATTAGATGTATATTGGGCTTACTTCTAAATGCAAACATATCAGTAACCTTGTAATTAAAAATGAATATCAAGAAATAAAGTTCTAACAAATTGATAATGATTATAATAATATACATATATTATTAGAAAGGTTTTTTTTAATGCACCATCTCTAAGCAACACAAATTTAATTAATGCGATGAATTATTGGACTAAATTTCAGTATTTTAAGGATAACGTATTAGATTAAAATGCATTGAGAACTAAAACTAACTCGGTCTGAATTAAGATTTCACTCTGAACATAACGCGCCCAGCTTGACTGCAGTCTGTCAGCTCCCAAGTTATCTACGGAACCTTGCGATGAATCAGTGTGGATAGCAATTTATCATATTTCGTTATGATTGAATCATAGAAATGTATCAGATTTCATTATTGATTGGATAAACATCTATGGAGATGATTAAATAAAGTTTGGAAATTCTTCAGGTTCATAATTTTGTTATCTTCATCTGTAAACCTTCACACTCAGCTACGACGACTGCAAGCTAATTCCTCTTCAGTGTTTTTTTAAACTAATCAATTTACGATGCGATGCAAATTTTATTCAAAGATTTAAGATGCAGATTTTACTAAATTTTAATAGTATTTGTAAAAATAAAATAAGCTCAGTTGCGAATTGGTGTGCTAAGAATAACTGCTTTGTTTTTGGAAGACATTTACACATGAACAACCTTAGTTTCACAGCTGAAAATTAATAAGAAAGAATCCTGTTAATGAATAAGCATCTGCAATCTGTAATCAAGAAAATTTCTAGTAATTTCTCTTTAAGACTTGAAACTCAGGAAGAAAAATTAGGAAAGTTAATGACATAATATTGCCTACTTGTTTTTAGGCATACCCCAACCATTATAGCGGATGCAGTCTTAAATTGAAATTGCTCAACTAGGCGTGACTAATATAATTAGCAGTAGCTGTTTTAGAAATACGGTAACTACCTGTGTTGTTTATTTAGTACTTAAACAGTAGAAAACACCTTCTTCTCATTCAGCCATATTATTTATTAAAAATAGCCCACTATAAGTTCCAACGAAACTTAGAAAAAGAAATATAGCAAACAAAAACAGGCTTACATTCGAGTAAATACAGCGTAATGTGCTCGAGAAATTATCCTTTTGATTCACAAGAAGTTTAAAGAAAAGAAAAAAGAAAGAAATTGCTCGTTTGAAATCGAATTCTGCTAAAACATCGAATTAATAACTATCTTCTAAACTATTATTCCCATCATTTTCAAAGCGCATAGTCTTTCGTAATTTACCATAAAGCATTTGCGCCAAATCGCAACCCTAAGAGCCAAACTAGCTCAATACTCGCCAATCTCTTTCTTTCCTCCATCGAAATCGATTATTTCTCCTCCTCCTCCCACGCATGAGTCTGTTTACGGAATTTAAAGCTGAAAGCAGACAATATTCTTATTATGGGATCTAGATCCATTTTCCAATTCGACATGCTATTTCTTGAAGTATTCTGTAACTGGATTTTCTCTGGGAAGTGATCCATCAAATATGTATGCTCCATGATCCAGAAATGAGATCTGAAGAACAATAATAAAAATAAACAATAATAAAAGTTAAGATTCATCTCAATGGAAGATACGTATTTGAGAATAGATTTTAGCAGGAACTAAGTTTTAAGTTGTGCCCAACTATTATTACCACAATTCGGCGGCACGACTTTGATAAACTTAAGCGTGTTACTTTTAAACTTCGATAAATTTCAAACTAAGAGTGATTAATAAATAATGTATTAAATGGACTAATTGATGAAATTCATCCATGCTATTATTATTTTCTGACGTGACATTTTTAGCCCATAAGGCTATTAGTCTCGAAACACGATTTTG